TTAGTAGAATACGAAAAGGTAAAAAACTATTCTGACGACAGTCCGTCGACAGTCTATTGATACAATATTAAAATAGCAGAATTGAGGCCATGGATAGATGCAGCCACATAATCTATATAACTAAAATACATTTTAGGCTTCAAGTTATTGCACCTAAACACCTTAATAGCTCATTTTGAACATCGTACATAAATTTAATATCAGTTAGCTGCGGCACGACTACACGAGGCATGAACACGTCAATTAAATTGAGTTTCAGCTTTGTATTAGTTCCGAACTACTATCAACTATTAATAAATACATTCTTGTTTGACGTAGGGAATACAAAATTTGTATTACGTGTAAGTTATGTTTTGGGAATTATGCTTTCAAAGTTTTATCTTTTGAGAAAGGTTTTAAACAACTACAAAAAGACTTAAGTTATTAGTTTAACTTAATGTTTTGTATTTTTTTTTGTCTTCGAGGAAAACTTACAAAGGTTCAATTAATATAAGACTAATAGGTGAAGGCTAATTTAAAATTTTCACTGCAATAACAAAAAAAGACAACTCTGAACATGGTAGGTAAATAGAAAAGTAAACATTGGTATTATTATATATGTAATTTGTTTGTTATGCTTAGTCGAAGAAAACGTTGCTCAGTTGTTTTTTTTTTTTTATTGACACTGTCGATGTATATTAACCTACAATGATTAATTCACCAATCGTATATCGCTTTAATTTCCGCATCCTGTCAAGAATACCTCGCAAAGCCACACACCACAGAGAAGGACGGTTCTGGGTAGGAGGAAGCCAATTCGACATATCCTCAGTTTTGAAAAGTCATCAATAGCTGTAGTGACTTGATTGACCTAAACTTTGACTGCCTTAGTAAAATAAAGTATTCGTTGCTCAAGAACCTCACAGATCATGACCACGGAAGTGCGAGGTTGAGATATAATATGTGAACCAGAACTCACTCTTTGTTTATTATATACTACTAGCTGGTACTCTCGACTTCGTTCGTGTGGAATTTGAAAAGCCCTGCCTTGGTGGGTTCGATTCCCGGACCGGACCGGTCAAAATTTCAAAGGGTTTGTCAGAGAGGAAAAATAGCCTAAGTTATTCCTTATAAACAGCCTTCTTAATTCCTTACAGTGGAATACCTGGTAGTAAATATTATTAAATCGGTAATCTCAGGTAATCTTCTAAACCGCTGTTAGAAGATTACAAATAGACAGACAGACAAAAAAACAAGTAAATTTATTGACTTACGGACCCACATTTATAAAGTAAATTTATTCCGTGCCATCAGAATGAGAAGAATAAAAATGCCACCAAACACTAGAACAGTATTCCAGTGTATTCTTTACCGGGCACGCCGTCATCGCGGCGGTAAGACCCGTTATGGAGGATTGGCTCGAGAGGCGTCACGGGACCCTCTCATACCGACTCACGCAGGTGATCAATGGGAAAGGATGTTTCGGGGATCACCTGTGTCTGATCCGCAAGGACCTAACGCCTGAGTGCCACCACTGCGATAGCCAGACCGTGGTCACGGCTCTCCACACGCTGGCAGAGTGCCCGGCGTGGGTTGAGCAGAGGCGAGACCTTGTGGTGGTCATCGGAGTGGGAGTTCTCTCGCTCGATAGCCTGATTGCGGCTATCGTGCGGAGCGAGAGTGCGTGGAACTCTGCCGTCTCCTTCTGCGAGCAAGTCATGCTTGCGAAGGAGACGGCGGAGCGGGACCGGGAGAGGTTTAGAACTCTCCGGGCCCGCCAGGCCCGGGAATGGGCCCGGTACCGCAGGCGACTCAGGCGCCGGAGGTCGCAGAACGACCTCCGTCCTCCATAAGCGCAGGCCTGGGGGTGACAGGTGAGGCCATCTGTCTCCTCTGCTCCCTGGAAGCGCGCTCGCTTAGGGAACAAGGGGTTCCCACACGGGGGGGTCGTCTACTTGTCTGTAGATGGCCCGAGGTATGTCGGGGCACCAGGGACTTCCTTTCTAGGGTATACGTGGTTCCCCGGCTATTATTACCGAGACGGTTTTAGTCGGTTCGAGCCCGACATGCCACCGATAGGTGGTATCCGAGGGGATTTCCGCACGGAAAAAAAAAGTGTATTCTTTACCAGATTGTTTTATCGCAAAATGGAGCGTTTTGTTCTTGCAAAACGGTTTTGTTATACGAATGATTAAACCGAGCATTATTGTCCTGACTCATTTAGTGGAATGACATTCCGGCATGAAAAGTGACTCCTGGGTGACAAACCGGGTGAGAGTCGTATACTTAGACTTTTTTGTAATAGTTACAAAATTGATACCCTTTTTAGGGTTCCGTACCTCAAAAGGTAAAAAAGTAACCCTTATACTCGTAAGATCACTTTCTTGTCCGTCTGTCCGTGTGTCACCACCGATTTGCTCAGGAACGGGTAAACCAAGGACGTTGAAATTTATACCAGATACTGATTTCTATGGTCACTATTAGGTGTATAAAATTCGAGGTCCTGAATCAACACGATAAAAAGCTATTTGCAAATTTCGATTTTCGCGAAAACTTGTAAGTACCAAAATTTACCTTAATTTTCAACTTTCTTTATTTTTCATAATTTTCTCTTTACTTGTGCTGTAAGAAATTGCTTTTAACCAAAATTGACAAATCTAGGTCAACCGGATGGACCCTATAGGTTTTTCGTTGAATACCTATATGGTAGTTCCCGTGGACTTAGAATCACGAAATATGGCAAAAAGAAACGTCTTACAGCACAAATAAAGGAATAATTACAAAAAATAAAAAAAGTTAAAAATTAAGAGAAATATTGCTACTTAGAAATTTTCGCGAAAATCTACGTAGGAGGTAGTACTACGGAGTAGGTAGGTACGGAACCCTCGGCCCCTTCGAGTTTGACTCGTACCTGAGCGGTTTTTTACGTTTTGTGACGTTTTACTATCTAAATTCTATTTATTTTGCGAGAATATTTGAACAATTTGCAGGTGCATTTTATTAACCAAATATAATTATTGGTCTACACTTGGTATATCTATGAGACTATGAACAATGAAGGTCCTAATATATAATTTGGATCTTTGGAGACTACCCAAACTAGTTGCAAATAGTCTGAATACAAATCCTGCGACCACCATAAATTGCGAACGATTCTAGAAATAACTCTTAAATTGTCGTAACAGACATTTATATATTCTTGCATGGTTCAACTTCCTAGTGAGTATTGCATGATCCACACGATCAAAAGCTTTTACAAAAACTATTTATATAGCATCAAGTGACCCCCTATCCTTAAATCTTTTAATAATATCGGCTGTATATAAAGATGGCAATTCCATTATACACTCAAACAGATACAAGAAACCTTTAATTCTTAACCCAAAATTCTTAATCAGTTAGAAATCTAATTATGAACAATCCAGACCCATTGAACTTTATGTAATGTGTTATGGCTATTTCGCAATGAGAGAGCCGTGCTTTGGGTTAAAGGGGCAGTCTTGACCGGAGTGATACCCTCACAGAGAACCAGTGATAGGCAATTTTTGGTTTCTTATCACCGAGTGAGTGAGGAAACATACATGAAACGGACACAAAGAACACCCAGACTCAGAACAATAATTTGTAGATCACACAAAGTGTCGTCCCATGTGGGGATCGAACCCACAACACTCAGCGTAGCAGGAAGCGGCGTGGCGACCGCTTAAACCAGTACGCCATCCTTGCATTCCACTCAAAAACTCCAAGTGCTTTAACGCACTGCTAAACTACCATTCCCTAGATGAATAATGCAGATATAAAATAAAGAAAGGTAACTATAGAAATAAAAGTATTATATTTACTTAACAGACAAATAACTTAAAAATTCTTATACATAAATCACAATACAAAAGGAACGATAAATTTACCTCCAGTAACTAACGCACCATACCGATACAATCTTATTTATCTAATTTGTGAGGTAATAGAAAGAACAATGTAAATACGCTTACAATTACACAAATTTGATTATTGTTGTTCTATTGAAATCTTAAATTAAATGTAGGTTTCATGACGAAAAATTTAGACCGGATTGAGGCTTTCAATTTTTTGTTTTAAAGTTACGACTTTTTCCTTTAAAAGGTAGATATATCACCAATTCTTGCCTCCCCTATCTCTACAGATTACCTCCAAAAACACGGTCTTACATAACTAAGTAAGGAGTAGGAATTGTTTCACCTGTGATACTTTTTGATGTATTCATTCACATTATTTGACTAGTCTGAACTATTCCCCCAAGCCATTTACTTCTTATAAGATAATTATGAAATAAAAAATGCATTTTCACAATAAAGTTATCGCCTAGATACTAGAAATAGGTAAAGATATGAATAACGAACTAACACTAACACTCATCGCACTGAATTTGACCTGTAAAGTCAAGCCCGCCGCGTACTTGTAGTATTTATAGCTTCATACCTATTTATGGCAATATATTTAATCTGAACTAGTAAAATTGGTAGGTAAACATCATTTTAAAATGTATTAGTATGTATATAATGTAAAATATTACTACACTGAACCTATATGAATTGTCAGAACAACTATCCATTCAGTATCAGTACTATACACAATTATCATAAGAATTGTAATGGAGTGGTTGACTTTTCGTTAGCATTTAACTGTTCTATTATTTGTGGCGCAAACATCAAATATAAGTGACATCGGGTATTTCCACTATCGCTCCTTAAAACTATTTCACTAAGCTCTTAAATTATTCTTGTGTAAAAAAATATCTAACCACTTCACACTATCTGCCAAGAAAACGCGGTTTTTACACATGCACGCATAAATCATTTTACAATCACATATAAATTAATCTTATAAGCTGACATGAATATTGCACATAATCTTAAAACAATTACTTTAATCTTATCACACTTCATTCTCACATCTGTAATATTTACAACGAATTAAATATATACATATATATACAATCTAGCAGTTCTAATTACCAATATACAGGTCAGTCTTCGGCAACATTATAACCTGGTTATTTCATTGAGAGGAAAAGATGGGTATCTTAAATCTAAACCTTGCAGCCTATCAATAAGATACTCTTCAGCTTGGAGCTGTTGTTTCTCATCAAAGTGTGCTTGCCAACCGCCAGCTTCTCCTTTTCTCACAAACTGGATGCCTTCACCGTTTGTATTAGTAGTGTTGTTAACGTTCTTATTCTTTCTTAAGTTTTCGAAACTCAAGTGTTCTGCGAGCTTTTTTATTTCTTTATCATTATAATTCTTATTGAGGAAGTCGCTTACTCCGCGTATTTCTTTTGGCAAATCCTGCAATTAAATTACGTTTATTTTATTATTATTTTTGCAATTCTAAGCAGGTCCTACTGGCATAATAGTAAGTGATCAATTCAGTATAAATGTTAAGCAGCAAATAACAGTTTTCTTGTCTTGTCAGCGCTTTTCACTAAAATAGTGTACTGAAGACATAATGTAGCACTATGAACACATAACCATACAAATTCACGTACAAAGCAAATGTAAAAATACTGAATAACTTACTTTAATCATGTCTTCATAGAACATAAAATGCATGTTTGGGTGATGTCTCTTACACCAGGCTTCATTTGTGTGTGCTACTATCGGAGAATATGGCACTGGAAAGTAGAAAATATAATTAATAACAAACAATTTTCCTTCAAATTCATTCAAATCATTATTACCATCATCATGTAATAAAAAATACCAGAAAAAAACATTATTTGTAGGTACTTACTCAAGTCTCTTCTCAAAGCCTCCCAGAAATGAGTGAAGTTAGCCCTCAGTAAAGTCTTGCCCACCATCTTATGAAGATAGTAGTATGATACAGATACGTCTCTTGGATCCCTTGCGACGTACACAACCTTAGCAGTATTCAGTAAGTTGGGCGGTAGTAAAGACAGAGGCAAATGTGTCTTGATGAGCCTCGGCGATGGCGCTTCATCTATTGATTGCCAACTGGGAACTCTCGCCGCTTTAGAAAGCCCTTGAAAGTTGCCCAGGTTCATGAAATTCACTTTGATCAAATCGAACGCAATCTCCGGTATTTGAGTTGTTGTTCTAAAAACGAAAATATTTCATTTATAAATGGGCAACATACAAAAATTCCTTTATATCATGGATATTTAGGCTATCTGTTCCACATAATCCTTTAACTGAGAACCCAAAGTCGTGGACCAAGATAAATACTTTTTTTTTTGCCTTAGGGGTATATACACTTGTTCTATACAGCAGATCTATGGGCCTTTGATATGAATTTGTAATTTCGGGGCTCAGTTACTAATGTTTTTGAAATGTATCTGTAGTCAAAGTTTAGTTAAACAATGAAAAAATCTAAAATGCTTACTCTAACATGGGAAATCTTTGGTATAAGGGTGTTGATTTCGCTTTCTTGAAGTCCAAATTATTTTCTACCAACCAAACCAACTCTTGCATCCATGTCGTACCTGTAAATCAAAATAATATCTAATGATAAATTTTGTAGTTAAGTTTAATCCCGTACATATCGCTTTCATGACACACCCACAAATGGTTTTTTTAAGAAATACAATGAAAACTGTCACTTCTGTTACACTTCATTTTGAACAAGGGATCGATCATAAAATATCAATAAATAATATTTTCGGACATTGACACACAACGCCATCTAGTTTCAAACTAAGCAGAGCTTGTAATACGAAAGCTAGATTGACTTTTGATTGTAACGTAACAACAGAATTTAGAAAATCTATATATATATAAGAGATTTCCACGTATATAGTCACTCATCACGATATCTCTGGAACCATTAGAGCTAAAGACTTGAAATTTGGTAGGAATATTCTTTTCACCGAGTAGAGGTCAGCTAAGAACGGATTTTAAGAAATTAAAAAAAAAATTTGAGTAATGTAAATATCAAAACAACGTTTGCAACAAGGGTCAGCTAGTCCGTCTATATATGACGAAATTATGCCTGAATATACATAAAAAAACGAATTGATAACCTCCTCCTTTTTGAAGTCCATTAAAAACGATTAGTTAAATTTAACCGTAAGCTTCACAGACAACCTTAAGCAATCCTTTCGTTACTTTTCACCAAGTGATTGAGGTTACCGGAGACCAAACCCTTCCTCCACTTGATTGGGAGGGTGGTGGGCTCAAAAGACGACGAGATGTCCATAGGCGGCGGAAGTCACTTGTCAACAGGTGACCCGTCTGCTCGTTTGCCCAAATATACCATCAAAAAACCTGTACCACATAAGTTGGGAGATTACATCACTAACCGATAAAATAACAGTTCTTAACAGAGCAGTTTATGTATATATAGATTATATTATGATACCAACAGATAGCTGTCATTGGGTTTTAACGCAATGAAGTTGATCAGTTACTACCTAAACCTTTTTTGCCAATTTTATTTAAACTGTACAATTTTAAATATATATCATCGTCTTCAGCCTATCATCGTCCACTGCTGGACGAAGACCTCCCCAAGAATCGCCAACTATCCCGATCTTGGGCAATCCGTATCCATCCGCTTCCAGGCTCTTTCATCAAGGTGTTTGCGTTGATGTTTAAATACTAACAAAATAACATGAATTTGTGATTATGTCAATATCTCTATTGTATGCCCCCCTTATAACTTTGAGTTATTTAAGAACCCACCAGAACCGGACCTGCCTTTTTAACTTTTTTAATAGATCCCAAGGTATCGGTCCAACGGAACTTTACTTATATATCTATAATCATCTTTACGAAACAGACTATTTAATGGAAAATATTTTTTTCCAAATCCAGCTAGTAGTTTCAGAAATGAATACATCCCACAAATCAAACTCCCTAACTTTATTATTAGTACAATATACGAGGTATGTAGTATACAATGACAGGTCCTATGTACATTCATGAGATTACACAGACTATATACACAACTGTTCCCAAACTACTGTTAACTAACTTTTAGTCTTTTTTTAAATTAACGTTAAAATTCACCAGTAACGGCATTCATTCATTTAAAAATCGACGTTTGTATGACCAGGCCCCAAGGAATGGCCGCATATTACCAAATGGATCGATTGTTGATGACGTGTGTTCACTGCCTTTAACACGTTATTGTGTTTTTATAGCCAGCTATAAAATATGGGTGTAAACATTTATATGAATTTTAATCTTTTTACTTTATTTCAAACGTGACTAAACTTTATCAGCACTTTGGTAAGTAATAACCTAAAAAACGGAGCACTTCTTTATCAGAGAAACTATCGTGATAACACCAATCTATTGGTGTATTATAATATAGGTGTTTGTATTCATAACGTAAGCAGTTAGCACTCAAACTTAACTACTCAAAATCTAAGTTTTGTTTGTTGTTTGTTTGAAAGCCTGTATGAAAGGCATGATAAATTTGGAAAAGAAACTACAATTAGGCAATACTGTATAGGTAGTACTATAATACAATTCACTTGGATACAACATTTTACTCGTAAATTTTATCGTAGAATATTTATCTGTCTATCGAAGTTGTAGATAAAATATATCAAGGATGTTGTTAATGTTTTTCGAAATATTGGAAATGACAGAATCGTTGAAGAGTCTAATATAACTTTTCTAAGGAGAGTTGGAGTCAAAACGACCTGCACCATACGCGATTACCATAACCGATACCAATTTAAAAAAATCCCCTTTGAAGATAAACAGCCACTTCTTTTTAAATTAAGAATACATCGAAGTCGGTGATACATTTTTCAAAACTGAATTATTTACATAACAATAAAATAATGTATCAGTGACGTATCAAAAGCAATATCTTTTATCTATGGAATTTAAATATGACGGATAGTCATCCGTCATCCGTCTCAAATTTTAGAGATCGCGGTCGTAATTCGTAAGTTAAAATTCTACAGGCTATAATTTACAGAGTATGAGTTTCTGGATGGGAGGACGATATTGAGAAAAAAGCAGGAAATACTTAGAAAAGACAAGCGCTGAACTGCACTCGGTGGCGAACTCTTGGGTAGGCCTATGTTAGACAATAATACAATCTCCACGAACTGGTGTGAAACAATTTTCTTCTCTTTTCTTTTTCTTTTTTTTTTTAAAAGACAACTCCCGCACTAGGAATAAATCCTGTGTCCCCGGGGACTTTACAAACATACATGAAACGGACACAAAGTACACCCAGACTCAGAACAACAATTTGTGGATCCCACAAAGTGTCGTCCCATGTGGGGTTTGAACCTACAACACTCAGCGCAGTAGGAAGCGGCGTGGCGACCGCTTAAACCACTACGCCATCCGTGCAGTCAATTGAATAAAGGCTATTATTATTGTTACCACGAGTTTCTTAATCAAGATATTAAAGGCCTGTAATATCTTTACTGCTGGTAAAACCAGTAGTGTTGCAAGCATTCGTACAATGAGGGGACTTACCTTTAGAATAGATTTTTTTCTACTGACTTAAATGACACTTACCAGATCTCGGAAAGGTGATGACCCATATATCATCAGGCCGGACCTGTAAGTTGTAAATAGCTTCGGCGTGATTTCTAAAAGCACCAGGCATCACATAACCTGCCTTGCCGCATTTCACGAACTGCTTGGTGTAACCTGGAAAATGAAGATTTTACTTATTACCTTTTGGAAAAAATATAAAATAGGTTATATTTATACAAGCATGACAACAAAAGGAAAAACCATTACAGGAGCATACTACGCATCATTACTTGACAAGCTGAAGGCAGAACTTGCGGCAAAACAAGACAACGCACCATCTCACACCTCAGCGGTTGCCATTTCGAAAATCCACGAATTACTGTTTGAACTGTTTAACCATCCGCCTTACTCACGGTCTAGCCCCAAGCGAAAAATTGCGCTCGGAGGACAGATTTTCATGAAATGAAGAGGCAATCACCTTCGTGAACAATTATTTTGCAGAGAAAAACGCCGAGTACTATTTGGACGGGTTACAGAGATGGGAGCATCGCTAGAAGAAGTGTGTAGAGTTACAAGGAGACCGTGTTGAAAAATATAAAAAAAAAAACTGAAAAAAGGTCTTGTATCTTTGTTAGGTCGGAAACTTTTCAGGCCACCGTTGTATAACAATGATTTCAAAATTTTTAAAACAACATATCCATTAGTAACTATATAACTTTACACACTTATTCTTTTTAGATCTTGTAAAAATAAAATAATATAATTTATCTACCTTTATCAAAAATAAGATAAGACAAATTCGAATAGTAGTAAATAGCTGACCGTAGAACTGTAAATTCAGTAAATATATGATATACAGAAACTAAATAAATTATTACCTTAGGGTAGCAACTCAATATTTGAAAACATTTTTCTTAAACAAGCTTTTGTAATCGAACTGAAACTCGCTGTATTGTAACAGTACAGAACAGTACTGAGAATGTTCAGATCGAAAAAAATACAATTGGCTGGTTTTTTTTTCAACGTGATAATTTGTAGAACACCTAACGATTTGTCTTGATTACCTACTTATATTTACTTAAGTTCTATATCATTATCATCTTCTTACCAAATTTATTTAGGGTCTGCGCAAAGAGTTTACTTCTTCCATTCTCCTCTATTACTCGACATCCTCTTTCACCCACTCCCGCATTCATAGCAAAAATGTTTAGATGTTTTCTTTTACACCCGACCACCTGCCTGATGTCACTTCTAGGGTCTTTCTTCTTCGTAAACAGTATTAAATTAAGTGCTTACATGATCTTTACTGTATAAAAGACTACGATGTTAATTTATCGGTGGGCCTGTTGGTATATTTGTTAGTGCCCTAGCTGCTAAGCCGGAGGTCGAGATTTCCATTGCCACCCAGGACAAATTATAATAATAACAATAATCTACCAAATAGACACAACGCCGTCCCAAACTAAGCAGAGCTTGTACTATGGCTACTAGACAACTGATATAAATACATATACACTTTTTTTTTGTAAATATATACATATTATACATAGAAACACCCAGACCAAATCAAACATTAAATGTTCGTGCACACAAATGTTTGACTTGAGCGGGAATCAAACCCGCGACCTTTGGAATAGCAGTCCGTTACACGAAACCACTAAGCCGGTCGTCAAAATAATCGTGTGATGATCACGATCATTTGTTCTGTGTCTGGGAATAATTTATCTGTAATATGTATTTATTTAGAAATATTTAAGTATGTGCAATGGTTCCATTACACAGGCTCTGCCTAGTTTGAGATCAGACGGCCGTGTGTAAAGTTATTATAATTATTACATATAATAACTTTAACGACAGAAGAACTACGTTGGAACTTGTGAGACATGGGTTTTTTTGTCATGTTTCGATAGGACCTTATCTAACCTGCTATCAGAATAGTACTTAATTTTTATGGGATCTTATCTATGTAACTGATGGAATAATGCGGAAATAAGCCATGCAGTGATGACTTGCGTTGTTGCGTAGTGGGTAAAGTAAAAACCAAAGTCGCAGTCTCGTCTCTCACACGAGAGTTACTATTGAAATAATAAGGACATTTTGTAAACAATTAGATATCACCCTCTATCTCACTCTCTTTTTACGATAACCGTCCGTATTCTGAACATTTGTCATTACGTAAGTTATACTTATAATAAATATTCTTTGCAAACTAGAATGTACTTCTTTTACCATTTTTAAGGTCTGGAGGAAAGTTCGTAAACGGCCCTTGAGACCTAGAATTAAGGGTGCAAGCAACAAAATAATTGCTAAACACTGGTTTTCTGTGAGGCCGTGGTATCACTCCGGTCGAACCGACCCATTTGTTTCGAAGCATAGCTCTCCCGAACGCAATATACCCATAATATTATCATGAAATGTTCTACCATCATTTTCCATTACAGAGCATCGTTGAAACTCAGATCAAATAATAAAATTTAAGATGGAACTTTGCGATTAATGAAGTGACGCCGGTTTTATAAACATGTGTGCGTAGGCCGGTGCTGCCACCATAATTTTATTTTACTGAAAATATTGGTTTCTACTCTTATTTATGTGTGAAATTCGATTCCATCCGACTATCTATCTCTTTTACTTGTAAATATTTACGCATTTACTTGTAAATATTGCTGACATTTTTGATGACGTTTTGACTGTTACAAGGCGTACTTTCGTTGTACGTGCGTGCGTGTAATTATGTAATTACACGCAAAGGCGTAGTTTTAATTGGCCTCACTTTTTTGTTCACAGCGTACCATTTTATTTACTTAGTATTACTATTACTACTATTACCATTTTGTTAGCACAAAAGTTAACTTATATACATGATCTGTAGAATTGTTATTTTTCAATCGTAAAGATATATAGCGATAAGATAAGATAATTTTGTTGCTCACAAATAGAATTCATATTTATATAGGTAATATTACTTAGGAATGTTTATATCAAAACTTCTATAATGATTATATTATGAACATGCATAATGCTTATCGTTTCGTGATAGCTTATGTCATACATGACGACATTTATTGTTTCGTGCGAAGGTAAAATTATATGTACCTGTAATATAATGATAATTTTATCATTTCTGTTTTTATTGAGTGTCTGTAAACATATTATTCGGTATTATAATATGTATGTAATTGTCCGTTTTATCTTCCTAGATAAAACGGACAATTACATGAAATACGAAGCTTGGCAAACGTCTACCATTTTTTTTTTTTTTTTTTTTAACGTGTGGAAATCCCCTCGGACCGTCACCCCTCCGGGGTTTGCGGCGGGGTGGTGTGTCGGACTCGGACCGACTAAAACCACACGGTGTGCCACTCTGCGCCTGTAACAGGAGGGATCCGGGAACAGTGGCAAACGTCTACCAGCTCCAAGCCTTTACAACCACTTGGATGCCATTTAGACGCTTGCAAGTGTGTTAGTGTGTTCCAGACAGGCAAACCTCGCAGATATGGTCATATTTTTATTCACATTATAAAGGGCTGCCCTAACTTAAAAAAAACCCTCTAGCCCTACTGCTCAACCAGTAGAGCATTGAGACTTAATGTTGATTAACCTATATCAAATTGAACGGTGGGGAAGAAGTACGCGCCAACATGTAAATACTCGTACGTCGCAAACGCTTGCCACAAGCGTCCTTTGATCTATGTTCAAAAACCGACACTAGTCCCGCGTGACGGCAAGGTCACGCATTCTGAGCCAAATTTCTCGTTTATACACGCTTGTGTTTGTGGACACTTGCCGAGGCTCATGATTTTTTCACACTCAATCAGCATGTATAAACTTTTCTAAAAAATCTCACAGAAACCACAATCAGAATACTTAATAAAAAGATTTAGTTTTCGAGTTAGACCTGGAAATTTTAGATCTTTAGAGAAGTTTCTTAAAATGAAACTAGAAATTCTCCTTTTTATGGCATACAGGGCAATTGAGCAGACGGGCCACCTGATGACCTGAGGCCTATGTCCAGTAGTGGACTGGTAAAGGCCATGGATATTACATTATATTAAATTGCCATCAATTGCTTGGGTATTATTATTTATTTCTTTATTTAAAAAAAGACAACTCCCGCATTAGGAATATATCCTGTGTCGCGGGGGACTTTACAAACATACATGAAACGGACACAAAGAACACCCAGACTCAGAACAACAATTTGTGGATCACACAAAGTGTCGTCCCATGTGGGGTTTGAACCCATAACACTCGGCGTGGTAGGAAGCGGCGTGGCGACCGCTTAAACCACTACGCCATCCGTGCAGTCAATCATTAGGGTATTCTTGTAGCGTATAATATACTTTATTGATTAATAGTGAATTTAATATTGTTTTCTTCACTTTGGATAGTATCTGGGAGCTTATTATATATTTTGATGGCCATTATAAACTCTTGACGAGATTGATAGAATTACCTTAATCAATAGTACACCTCCTTATATTCTAGTATTTACAGTGTACGAGCATAAAAAATATGTATTTATGTGGATTTATATATTTATATGTATGTGTAACTTCATATGTAGTTTATGTTAGTTTTAAATAGTTATTAAAAAAAAATTATAACTATTGATTACAACTTTAGCCTTGGTGCCTTACAAGATTTTAAAACCACTCTAAGGTTGGCTGGTAGAGAATACCAATGGCATTAAGCCCGCCAATGTACATAAGTGCATTAAGATGTAAAATAAATAAAAACTGAAGTCACACAAATGCGTTGGATTAGGGAAAAATATCTGGCCCTCTGGTATTCTTATTCACTCTGTGAAGAACTATGAAAGAATACCTTAACAATGGTTCTGATTCTCTGATACAATACCAATCTAACCCATCCATCCCGAAGCATCTCCTACTTCATAATTGATGATGCTGTGTCATCTAAGCTATAGTCGGATGAAGTATTCGAGTACCGCAGTACTTGAACATAATAATCCGTATACGATAACATTCGATAAATAAGATGTCTTTAAGTGCATCGCGATCTAGAAACTCACTTATCTTTACTATTATTGATATTACACAATCTACATATTACAGTATAATATTACAACTCGTTACATATAGTAACATAGATGAATTGTTAAATCGTTCCAAAACCATCTATACTAATATTATAAAGCTGAAGAGTTTGTTTGTTTGTTTGAACGCGCTAATCTCAGGAACTACTTGTCCGATTTGAAAAATTCTTTCAATGTTAGATAGCCCATTTATCGAGGAAGGCTATAGGCTATATATCATCACGCTAAGACCAATAGGAGCGGAGCACCAATGAAGAATGTTTCAAAAAACGGAGAAAATTTATTACTATTTAGAGACGCAGACGAAGTTGCGCGGATCAGCTAGTATTATATATTTTACTAGCTGACCCGCGCAACTTCGTCTGCCGCTCTCAATAGTATCTAATAAATTTTCTCCGTTTTTGAAACATTCTTCATTGGTGCTCCGCTCCTATTGGTCTTAGCGTGATGATATATAGCCTATAGCCTTCCCCGATAAATGGGCTATATGATAAATCTAACACTGAAAGAATTTTCAGAATTCAAACAAACAAACAAACTCTTCAGCTTCTTCATTAAATCTGTAAATGATATGCATGAATTAAGTAGCGAGTTTGAGCTATTCAGATCCAGAACTTTAAATTTCAAAAAATTTATGCTTCAAAATTTTTTTTAAGCCCAATATTAGGAGCGTGACATTTTTTTTCTGTTTTGTATCCAAAAATGAGTCATAATAAGTTTTTTTTAATGTACTTTTTTTTTGTTGTTGGTCAGTTATTTGAATTGTTGTTTCACACTTGGAATCTATTTGCGAATACCTGTAAACAGCTTCGTTGTTACTTTATTAAAATGTTTTACCTTGCGTTATTTGTGCTGTTGGTATTCCGAACAAAAAAAATATAAAAAAAATGAAAATGTAGATAATAAATTCACCTTATATGTGATATATTCTTAGCCTTAGCCCAACAAATCAATACTATGTGTAATTATCACTTTTTATAGCTATGTATGTACTACTTTGATTTCATCTACTTTTATATTTCCTAATACACCAGCCACTACCCAATACCTCCTCCCCTTCATGTTTTCACTCCAAACCACAGTTGCCTGTAAAAGATTGCCTCTGAGCGATAAGACCGCCACTTCTACTGACCTAGTTTAAGATAATTTTGGTATATTTAAATCTGGTATATTATTTCGCAGTCTGTTTAGTTATATTTATGTGCATTTGTATATTAAATATATTACTAGAACTGACTGCATTATAATTACCTACTTTTGTAGTTTACTATTTATAGAAATCTAATGCTGTTTGCTTTATAAATATTTTATGATTCTTCTACATATTTTTACACACCAAAACTACCTATAAAATGGTGTATCTAAGAGTGGATTTGTCAATTCAAAGGTTGCCTGTAAGACATTTCTTTTAGCCATAATTAAAATCGGTGAACCATTTTTAAAGGTTAATAATGAAAATGAACATATCTTGGCCTTAGAACATGGTTCTCTCAATGGTTCTTTCATATAGTTTCAATTTTCTTTCCATCGAAACCACTGCGCAAACTTAGATGCAGTACTAAACATTTGAGTAACAGGAATTACTAATATTAGAATAACTTGTGTCAAAATGAAGAATCTAAAATGTATCCGAAGATAATAATCTCAATCAACAAATGACTTTTTATTTTATGACATCGTCCAGAGCCTCACAGATTGGTTTTTAAATTATGTTCACGGAAACACTTTACGCGGTTTCAATTTTTATTTTTTCTAATATTCATGGGCCGCCTGATTCTTGGCGGTCACATAAAAAGGAATACCTACCTATTATTTTACCATGCATCTGTCATGCGCACTCATAAAATGAGATTACTAAAGGGTTCAGTACCCTGGTTGCCATTATTGCTTGTTTTTCATTAAAAACTTTTACTGAACTTTTTTAATATGTTTTAAAGAATCATATTTACCACAATATAACCTAGTGATTTTATCGTTGATCTTATTTTTTTCTAAATAAATGTTAATAGAAAAAAAAAATACTATTGCCAGTAAATCAATTACAAAAAAAACATACAAGTTACCACATCCAAAAATCACAAAATATAGTCACGAACAAAAAAACATCGCTAGATATTCACATCACAACACTATCACTGACCTAAAAGGCATTTGCGAATGAACTTTTCTTCTTCTGCGGTGACGTTCGTTATTTCGTACGGTAAGTCCAGCCAGGGCGCCATGATTCCGCTTTGTACAACGAACAGCTCCGCACTGTAGCACTGTTGCTAAAGGCGAGATATTTCAATAACCAACATTACCATCCTCTATCTAATCAGGTATTGATTAATCTATTGCTTCGATAACGGTTATTCAGCTTCCATCCTACCTACCTTATTCGACTATTAGCCATCAAAAAGTATTGACTAATTTTCCAATACAACGTTTTATTTCAAAACTTGACGTGATTTATAGAATTGATAAGACAGTTCAGTGATAGTGTTTTGGTGTCCACTTCAATGTAACATTTGCAATATTTGTATATCTTTTTTAAATGACAACCCAGTATCGGTTTTTAATATACTTTCTACCTTACCTTAACCACAATGTACGCCACTCAAATTTAATTAAAACGACAAGTAAATGAAAATAACCAATTGTTATTTTAAGCTATTGCATAGCTTCTATCGAGGGCCTTGAGCGCGGGGACCGAATCCAGAAATTCCATAACGAAAAAAAACCTCACGCTATAAACAAAACAAAAAACAGTACCAAAATCAAATGCTGAACGTCAAAGGAAATTTCGTCAAAATAATGCAGAAAAATCTTACATGGATATGTAATTTGATTTAATAATAATATTTTTCATTTATTTATTTAAAAACAAATTGTAATATATGCTTCAATATTTTTATTTAATAAAAGAAAAAAAATTGTTTTCTTATCGGTCACCACGCTCAAAAAGTGTAACTTGAATTAATATCAAAGAAAAAGAAATACTGCGTAAATAAAATAAATAATTTTATTTATAATTGCATAAGTTGATACAAAATGCTATGCAATAGCTTTACCGCGGCAGTCCCCGAGTGCCACACGTCTTTTTATAATTATGTTTACGGGAATTTAAGGCGCCCTCTCATAGGCCTGCCTTTGAGCGAGTAAGTCTGCGACTACGACCAGTAATAAAAGGTCGGTCCAAATTCAGTTCCGATCAACTCTCGATCTCATAACTGTTATAAAAAATATTATCGTAGTAAAATACTTACGTACTACGAGATCTTACTAGAACTTTTATTACGAGAATTTGCCTTGTAGCTATCTTGAGGATAACGCTCATTCACGGGAGTTCCAAAATATATAATGATGTTTACGGAAACATAATTCTATATTTTGGAACGCGATAATAAAAAGTGTTATTATTATTTTGGTTATTTTCTGTATTGTCATCTTATCGTCTTAAATGCCATAGTCTTCAACACGCTCTCAGTCAGTCCCAACACTGGTTAGATGTAACAGAATGATAAAATGAATGCTATTGACTTGGGATAACAGCAAACTGTGTGCAGACTAATTATTGTTAAAATATTTAAATAATAAATCTTCCTATATATATCCAGTTTATAAAAGAGGAATTGGGAAGTAGTGTCGCTTTTTCAAAGTCAAAGTCAAAATACACACTGTTTACTACATTTACTACATCTGTTTTGCCAAATATCTATATCTATACAAATAAATAAAATTGGAGTGTCTGTTTGTAATATTAAAATAACCGCTTTTTACTAAATGCATATGTATGTTTACACGGTAAAACATAAAAAAAATAACATTATATAAAAATAAAAAAGAAAAAAAAAATTGTAGAAAAATGTTATATGCCAAAATAACATTTTTCTACAATTTTTGTCTGTCTGTCTGTTTGTTCCGGGTCCAATCTCTGGAACGGCTGGACCGATTTCGACGGGACTTTCACTGGCAGATAGCTGATGACATAAGGAGTAACTTAGGCTACTTTTTTTAGACTAGCTTTGCCCCGCGGCGTTGCCCGCGGTTATAACAACAAACGCGGGTAACACCACGGGTCTCAGCTAGTTTATTAATATAAGTCGAATCCATCATATGCCTGTGTCGATCTACAACCGCCCGTTTGCAATGGGTAACTCACGCCCACTCTTTTTTAATTACAGATAGATATAGTTAATTAAATATACTACAACAACATTGATGTGTGCCAATATATCAGTTATCAAGGACTAAATGGTAAAAAGTAATGAAGAGAAAACAAGCTATAGAAAAAAGATGAATAGAATTGAAAGTGAAGGAAAACATGCAAAATGGAACTAAAAAACTACCCACACTATATTTCCTTTAAAACGACTTAATGAGGCAAATTTAAAGATGTATGGCGATTTGGAAAAGTGGTGGAAACCATAAAGAAGAAGAATACATGTAAGGCGTACGTTAGTGGTGTGCCCGGTGGTAGCATGGTCAATACTATTTATTACATACAGAAAATTATTGGTTCTAAAAGCAGGATAGGTCAAAAGTACCGGAACCAATTACCTAACAGAAGAGGAAGTTAAAGAAGAAGGCTCACCGCCGCCTATCTGCTCCTTTCCAACCTATTTCAAAAACAAGTATTCTGATAATGATCGCAGAGTACCCAAACACTGTATACTACGGCGTAAGATAAGTTATCTTTACACCTATTACGTAGGAGATATTTAAGATAAAAAGTTATATATCTATAAATTGGTTTGTGTACGCTTCAAAAACTCATAAAGTTCTACAACCATTAAGCTCAAATTTTAACACGATATTCAAACTCCTTCAAAGATTGTTTTTATCTATTCTTTATTTCAGTTTAGTTCCTCATTTCTCATCAATGCAACTACAAGTATGCACAGCGAAGTATGACAGTTGGTAATAAATACACGGTCAATAGCAATATTAAGTACCTGACATATTGAATTTAGTTATATACAATATATACAATAGACTACCTGATTTGCTGAGACCCACACAACAATACCTTGCAAGAAAAGAATATGTAAACAATACGTGGGATGTCTTGACGTGGAAAACTATCGCAACAGCTAGACTCAGACGTTGTTCTCTAGAAACTACCCTAACCATGTGGTTTCAAGGTCCTCCCCCTCATTGTAAATGGCCCTAAAGTCAAATTAGGTATTTATTTCTTTTTTAACGTGAATGCAGTCCATAAACTTTTAATTTTTTTTTTTGTTACTTTACTAATGAATGAAAAACTTCGAGTCCAAAACCATTATAATATTTTGTACTTCAAAACTTGCTAACATTTTACAAAATTATGAAGTTACTCAAACATAAATGACTAAAGCATTTTTTCGGAATTTGATCAAAAAAACTTTCGTAATATCTTGCCTGTTAATTAAGAAATTGAAAACTGAACCCATATCAATGCCAAATTGAGAAAAGTATACAATTGAAAATAGCTTCGTGTACAAAATCTTTTAATGACTGCTTTGAAAACAACCGATTTAAATGTATATATTTAAAATGATCTTGAAATTAATTTGCGTTTACTGTTCTAAATTTCTTAGTGGTAACGATAAAATATACTACATTAAACCTAATTCTTTGGGTTGAACGGAGTGAATAGGGGTACTGACACTCCGTATTCCTAAATCCGTCAACACACGGAAAGATAACAATATAGAACACCTACATTATTAGGGACTTTTGATGCCCAAAGTTTTACCTAAAATAATCACTCAAGTACAAAGATTAAAAGTCAATGTCAGTTATGTACAAACGTAAAAAAACGGCTCCAATCATACAGAGCTTAGTAAAAGGGCTCATCCCTTTATAAAAATGTAAAATATTACCGGTGTAGCCAGGTGTCGGGATGGGGTGGCCATATTTTTGCAGCGGTATAAATAATACCACACGCCCGTAAAAAACACCTGTTACGGTAAGAATGGTAATTTATTGTTTTCCAAATATAAGTCAATATTATATTTTTTCTTTGTATTTTTAGGCATAAATTATAGAGCTGAAAATTTTGCGCAGCCTTTGGCAGAAGTCCAATAGAAGACAGGACTGACGAGGCCTGCTCTCTCGCTGCACTAAATTTCACCAAATTGTTTTATGACCTAATCAACTTATTCTCTTTATTTGTAATAATAATATGGCTATAACCCAAATAGTGTAACTTTTCAGTCCATTTTAATCATCATCTACATCTTCATACCCTTTTGCCAATTATATTTGGAGTCAGCGAAAGTTGTAACATTGCTAAGTTTAATATAAGCCATAAGAATTAAAAAAAACAAGACTAGATAACAAGATTGGAGTAAAGAACTAGAATCGGGACACTGGGATAGAGTAAACAGTTTTATAGTACACTTTTAATCATGTAAGAAACTTGTTATACGGAATGTCGAAACAGCACAGTTATGTCGCATGTACTGCCATTTCACCTCTACTAAGCTAGTATTCTTAACTTTCAAGATTTTCAAGTATATAGGTTAAAAGATCGACATTTTCTTGTCTTGTTTGTTTTTAAAACAGACTACTCCCGCATTAGGAACATATCCTGTGTCGCGGGGGACTTTACAAACATACATGAAACGGACACAAAGAACACCCAGACTCAGAACAACAATTTGTGGATCACACAAAGTGTCGTCCCATGTGGGGATCAGACCCACAACACTCAGCGTAGTAGTGAGCGGCGTGGCGACCGCTTAAACCACTTCGCCATCCATGGAGACATTTGCAGTGTCAGATTTTCAGAATTGATCAGGTACAAAATTATTGTATAATTATATTGTCACTTGATATTTGAAAGTCGAAATTGATTATGTCGTAAGTATTTATTAAATTTTATCATAGACTGCAGCTTCATATCGCTTCAACCGCCGCAGCGCGTCGTGTGCTATTAATTATTTATGAATGATATTGATATTTTATATTATTATATTACCATTGGGAAAAGATACGATAAAATATTTATTTCGGAAGATTATTTAAAGGAAAATAGCAACAATCTCTGTTTTGTCAAATAATTGGTAAAATAAATATAAATGGCTTGAAATCTATTATATGTCTGTGCCGATCTACAACTGCTCGTTTCCAAGAGGTTGAGAATTATGAGAAGAAACGGTTAACAAACTCACGGGCACTCTTTTTGTTACTGTTTTCTTTGTTTGCCGTCGGTGAGTCTAACTTCAGCTCTAATGGGCCTTCTCCGCTGGAGTGATAC